CAGGCTCGGTCCAGGACAAACCAGACACCTGAGCCGAAACCCCTGCGATTCAGACAGTGACATTTATTTTCTGCGGTAGGCGTCTCGGGTACATAAACACCATCTCTAGCTTCTTAATAAACTGCTCGGAAAAAACAGTAATGGAAAGTCTATAAAGGTGGTCATTTCAGTCTCGTTTTGAACTCCACTATACAGCGAGTTTTACATTTAAGGCTTAAACGTTTCAGTTAGACATGTGCATTGCTGACATGCTACATTAATATTTACATCCACTCAATTAAATAAAATACAAGCATTTTATTTTTTGAGTTTAATAGTATTGCTCAGGATTACAAAATACAACAACATCTGAAATACTGAAGTTTCCGTAAAAGCAGCGTTTTCTCCCATTCCAGTCTTAACTGTCCAGAAAATTACCAAAATAAAAATATTTACTATGTTACTTAAGCCACAAATCTAGAAACATGACCATCAGGTCTTAAATCACGTAACGTAAACAAACGCAAATGGCAATTGGCAGGAGTGTGACAACTGCACGATCATAAGTCTCTGTGCTCTATGTATTACAGTATAGGTTTTTTCCAGAAAAAAAAGTAACAGTGTTTAGATAGAAATCAAGAAGTCAGACTGGCTTTGTGATTAACACCTTAGTGCTCCTGTCCCTAATAGAGCAGAACCACTTTGGTGATTACTGATGAACGCATTGACACATACATGGCAAAACAAACCTACAATAACATGGTGTAATTCTTTCATTGTGATGGATCTATAAAGAAATACCACAATTTTCCATACATGTGCTTAAATACATAAGTTGTAAAAGCTACAGGTGAAACTTCATCCTCCAAAAGGTACACTCAGTTTATTTTGTCCCAGTATGAACCATGTGTACTTACTCTGGTTGAATTTCACTGTAATTCAACTGTTTCAAATATTTTTGGTCCTCCCACTGCAAAAAACCTGCTTGGAACATTTTTCTTTTTTCCCCTTCTCCCTTTCTTTCATTTGTTTGTCACAAATTGATGTTGTAGGGATTTTTGCTTTTTTTTTTTTTTTTTTTTTTTTTGTGGTTTGTTGTAGGTTTATTTATTTTAGTGCACAATATTTCAAGTAATTAGCCCGTGAAAATCTATGAACAGCTTAAAATATCAGGAAGAAAATTACCAGGAAAATAATTTTCACAACCAAAGATAACATTCTTCAATTTTCTTTTTTAAAAGACCATATAAAAAGAAACTGGTAGGTTCTCACATTTATATTAAACAAAAAGATTTCCTGTTGTATTCAAAAGTAGTTTATCATCATATGCAAACTGTATCTTCCCTTATTCAGAATACATTAATTTAACCTATAAAAATACAGTATAGATAAGTTCTCCTCATTCCCTGACATAAGAATTTACCATTTTGACACAAAAATTGTAAACTTTTATTATATTACATTCAAAATACATTTCTTAAGTCTTTAGAATTTAAATTCTGAGGTGTCGGCAGTCGGAGCTCTTGGTATACAGCAAAAGTACATTATTGCAGAGCCTTTACATAGAAGCAGCTTTCTAAAGTTAAGAGAAACTTACTCTTTCCACATAATTTTCTTGCTACCAGGAGGAAAAGAAAGGCTTCCTGCTATGAAAGGTCTGTGTGAATGCATTACTCAGATGAACAATTCGGCCTTGACTTCCAGTGCTACTTCGCTCCACAATCACACGAGGCATCTGAACAAGCTGAATTGGACTTTTTTCATCCTTTAATGCCTGAGTAAGGTTTAGTATCTAAAAGAGTAAAAGCAGATAAGGTAAGCCACAGTTTTATTTTTGTGCCTTAACAGGCTTATAAGTTTAGATGCTGCTCTTAAAACAATTCTGTAGGTGATCCCGCTGCCAAATATTTATTTTTAAAAGATTATCCATTGCAAGTAGAAATGTTATTTATTTAGTAACATTATGACAGCCTACTGCTATCTGACTACATTTCTCTTATTTTCCTGAATATTTCATGCAATTCTCTCCAAATTTCTGGAAAATGTTAGAGACAAAGGTCTAAGAACATTTTAAATTCAGCACGTCTCTTAAGAGCACTGCACCTTTAATGAAAAAAAAAACAAAAAAACCCCAACCAAAACAAAACTACAAGAAAGCAATCAACACTAATTTAACCTAGGCTCTACCAGGAGTTTAGCGACAAATTATTTTCACACCAGAAGATATGAAACCATATTATTAACCCAAACCCAAGCCAGTGCTAAGATCCAAACTCAGCCCTCAGCTCCCAGGACTCTTGTTATCTCCAGTCTGAAACTTCAGTGCTCATGAACTGCTCTGACAATTTTACTCCACATTGAGTGTTATCCTTGTGAAAACTAAGGCAAATATTCAGTTTGTTGCTGGTATACACTTGCATTATCCTTAATATCAAGGGTTTTTTTTTCCCTGCACAATGACCCTTTCGTCTTTGTTCAACTCACTGATCCCCTTGCTTATTCTGCGTTAACTGGTTGCTTAGCCTCTATATTCTTGAGAGACTTGTTTATTTGGAAGGGTTTCAAACCCAAGATATTTTTCCCCTCCCTGCTTCATAAAATATGCTTCTAACTACTTTTGGTACCTTGGAATTAAAGATCTCACCCCTCCTGTGCAAGATGTTTCTCTTTGGCCTACAACTCTTCTATAACACCCTTGTAACATACTTTGATTTTATATAAAATGGAAATTTAAAATCAAGTGCTAAAAGGCATAATTTAGATACATTTTCCAATCACATCCAAGAATAACTGATGTGTATTTTGCTCCTAAATCCATGCCTGAAAACCTGGCATCTCCCACAGTGAAACATTCCTATTAATACTGGAAGTTAGTTTCAATAAATTCAGGGCAAATAAGACTATTAATTTATCTTGTCCAATTCCCTTAGATTTTTAGACCACACTGTTTTATGCCTACAATTAACTCAATAATTTGTTCTTAGCTCAAGCTTGTTTTCCAGTACACCACACCAGCCTTAAACTTTAAAACAGCAAGAAGATTGGAGAAACCCTTGTCCTCTCATTTCAGTGTTAAAACCCCACAATATTTAATTATCATTAAATTTGTAATTAAAAAAAAAAATGGATGCATCAGTTCCAAGTACAGTTTGGACGTTTGCTAGGATGAAATGAAAATTTATTACTTAATATTACTGAAATACCTCTCAAAAGAAAGCAATCAAGTTAACCCTCCAAAATAAGGTCACATTTGTTTTAATAATCTAACAAAATTACCCACCAAATTTGCTATTCCAGTTTAAGACTCTTCTCTGATGTTTCACTTCTAAAATATCTGAGAATATATAGGTATTAAGTCCTCCCCAATCACCCACAAACTCAATAAAACTAAATTACATTATTAAAAAAAAAAAAGTATACACTTTCTGCTGTCTCATCTATATGCAAATAAGAAGAAACTCTCGAAAGAAGTTTAGTCTTCTCAGATAAAAATACCTCCAAGTGTCTCAATTCAATAGGAGACAGTTTCTGCAGCTTTAAAAGACACTCGCTGGGAAGTGACAAGAAATGAAATACATAAATAAAAATGTAAACCAGCAGTCTTACCTGCCCTCTCATAACAGACATCTGGTTTTCAAAAGTAGCCTTGTCAAATCCTTTATCAGTCTTTATTAAAGAAAACAAAGTTATTATAGGAAATGACCCATTTCTTTTTAGCTATGTATTTAGCAGGCAACTCTATCAATTTCATAATATGTATCGTCATATTTACCAACACTGTGACAATTTGAATACTGGAAGCTTCAAATAGTCACAGTATGACCCAGAAAAAGGTCTATTTATTGCAGCAAGTTTACATATATGAAAATAAGGACGTTCCACACCATGGCTTTGGTAGGTAGGCTTCACATCATCCCATAATGTTACACTTCTGTCTCTCACCTTTACTCTGGCAAAAGAATGCTTACTCCTCCAGGGTTAAATACTTTAACTTGCACTGGGTTTAACAGACACATCAGAGTCACTATGAGTATAACCAAGTAAATAGTGCAAATACTGCAGATGTGTTCTGGGTATTTTGGACATTACAGCTGCATTTTCATTCAAACTTTAAAGTTTCCATTTCTTTCCATCCTGATAATTTGGATTCCCTCACTTTAACAACCGACAATTTCTTATGTAATGTTTTAGAGAAGGACACTTCTTTACACATCAGTATTGTAGCAGAGTTTCAGTATCTTTAAGAGAAGTTTGACTTTAAAGATCTCAGCATCAACTTCACACATGTAAAATTAAGTATATGAAAGGTATGCAGATACTTTAATTTACATTAAATACATTATTTCCTCAAGTTGCTACAGTTTATCTTCATTATACACATATCACAAAGGTATGTTACAGTTTTTACCCAGATTTGTGCAACAAATGTTAACTAGATTTAATTGATTGTGTAACACAGATATAGATAGATAGATATATATAAAAGGTGATTATGTTTTTATATGAGCTGATTACTATCAATTAGTCACATTAGTGACAGCTTCCTCTTAATTACACAAACCCTTTCTACCATGCTGATGTTAAAGCTGAAGTAGCACAATATCATGACATAGAATAGTTAAATTCATGAAAAGAAAAAGCATGTATCTGTTCCATTACAGGTATTACCTATTTCAGTAATGCTTAATTCAAGGAAGCATTCGATTCACCTTAAATAGTTCATAAAGATCTTCACAAAGATCCTGTACGAAGTTCATATCAGAAATGCGAGGAAGAACCAGGTCTCTGGTCTCCTGAGAGAAAGGAACTTTTGCTTGAGAAAGCCAAGCCCAGTGAAAGGGATCTAATGCATAAACACAGCACAATTAATGATTAACAACAGGCAAAAATGAAATTCCCAAGTGCTTACCGCTGATAGAGTAGTCTGCTGCCTACTGGAAGTTCTTCACATCACATCATTTTTCACAAGATATGTATAGATATTTTTTCACCCCATATACCTCTTTTGGCTACAGTTACAAAATCAGCTTTATGATGACTTAGTCTTTTTTCCTAATAGTGAAAACATTTTTCAGGTAATAAATATTTAGTTGAAGCAATAAGAAAAAAAGGTATATCAATTAAATACTGTAAGCAACAGTAAAAGCCTTCTAGTTTAAAAATGCAGTTCATTCTGCAGTAAACAAATGGCTGCAATCAAATAAAAGTCCTCTGGCTCTTTGACTCATACTGCAGAATTTAAAAAAAAAAAGTAGCTACCTTTTTAAAATAAAATTTTTAGTTTATTAAAAGTCCTCTTCTAAGCATGCTGAGAAAAATATTCTTAAATTTTCACATAATTGGTTTTAAATAGCTTTCTGAAGAGGTATTGTAAGAGTAATTAATATTACCAGATGTTAAACAAGACACCAAACATTATCAGTCACAGGAACTGAGGAATGCCACTAGTAGCAGGCCACAGACTGAACTTCCTAACGCTGCTCACAGCCCTCTGACTCCGACAGCCCAGCTGGTTCTCCACCCACCACAGTCTGTTTGTCCAGTCCGAAGCTCCTGTTTCACTACAAGAATACTAGGAGAGACCATGCAGAAGGCCTTGCAAAAATCCAGGAAAATCATTATCATTAAAAGCTGTCTAGTAAGACAAGCACAGCTTGTCCTTCGTAAATCCATTCTGGCTTCTCCAGTCACCTTCTTATTCTCATGCACTTGAACACAGCTTCCAGAAGGATTCATGGGGACTGAGGTTAGGCTGGCTACTCCATCCTTCCTTGTATCCTGAATCTTGCCCTTCTTGAAGATGGATGTGATACATTTTTATTAGTCATCAGCAACCTCCCACGTTACTACAGTCTTTCAAGACTGATGAGGAAACGGCCTCACAACAACATCAGCCAGCTCCCATTTTGTTTCCAAAGCATCTCATCTACTCCTACAAACTTCTGTATACCCACTTTGGTTAAGTGCTCCCTTCCTTCTGCTTTGGATAATGATTCATTCCCAGGCACTCTGCTTAAGAGCTCAAAGACCTAAAAGGCTAAAGGCAAATCTTACACTTGAGAACTGAGGCAAAGTCAACACTGAGTAACTTGCTCTTTCTTTTGCCTTTCAGTCTTCGCTGCACTTTTCTTCAGTCCCACTCCTCTAATATACTCAACCCTTTCTTGTTGCCCTTTGCATCCTCTGCTAGCTTTACTCCAGGTAAGCTTTGACTTTCCAGACTCCATTCTTAGACTTCAGGACAAAGTGTCTACATTTCCAGCACAGTGTTTACTTTTATTTTTTTAACGTACTTAATTGCTGTGTCCCAGTTCAGTCAGGAGTTCCCTATTCATCCATGCTAGACCAACCTCCTGCCTTTTGGACAGGCTGTCCTCTGGCTTTGAGGAGGTTATCCTTGATGACAACCAGCACTAGTCATCAAGAAAACATGCTCTACCTGTCAAGAGCCTGTTATTTCAAACAACATTATGCTACAAGTTTATTTTTACAGAATCATCACACACTTGTCCAACTTTAGATTTCTACAGGATCATCCGATTTTGTTACTTTTTATACCTTTTAACTTGTTCTACTTGTTCGCCTACAACAGTACCCTTTGTTTTGAACCATAAGTTTGGCTATTAGAGAGCAAATTATTAAAAAAATTAATATATAGCTACAGGGATGATTTCTGAGTTTCTTACTACAACAACCCAAATAATAATAAAAAAAATTATTTGGAAATTACTCTCCCAAAGGAAGATGATGAAAGAATGCAATACTTACATGCCCTCCACTCATCAGGATGCTTAAAAGGAAATGCTAAACCATTGTCAATTGCAGCAATTTTAATAGTAGATTCTTTAGTTACAGTCCATTGGCTATCCTATAGAAGGAATATTTCAAAAATAAGCGATACCTATGTGCTTACAAAAATAGTGAAATACATTAAAAATACTAAATAACATACTTGTTACCTTTACTGCTTAAAGACAATTTAAACAATATAAAGGAATACCCAAATAAAGTCCAGCACATAATTCTTACTCTACCACATTAAAAAGAAGCCCTTCCCCAAAATAAAAGATTAGCAGAGTACATAAACAGCCAAGGAAATGCACTTGAGCAACAGTAGGCGGTTTTATCATTACTAGAGCCCAAGCTAGTAAGGAAAAAGTACAGAACAGTAAAAAACTTCTAGCAGTGTTCTATCCAGACTAGTCTAAAGCAAAGAGCTTTTCCCTTCATTTTTCCTAGAATAATTTGCAGTTATCCTATTTCTGGAGACCATGCACCAGGATTAAAGCCATGCACCAACCAAGTTATAAAACTAAACCATTTAAAGAATATAAGTTTCAGAGTACAACTTTCTTACCTTATCTGACAGATCAGGTCCATCATCTTGTTTTTCATATCTGACTAGCCAGTTATCGTTACCTCTGTCTTTAAACGAGAAAGCATAGGTCACAATGCAGCACTTACAAAGAAATCATCAGCTACCGTGGAATACAATGACTAATACTGTAAACTGAGAATTCACCAAAGGAGTCAGGCAAAACTGTTCAAAACATTTTTTCCATCACAACACGTGTGTTCTAGATTTACTGAAATGAGGCAACTGATTTACTGGAAGGACCAAAAATTTACCAACTGGTCAGGTATGTATTACTGCTTTGCTTTCCCCAGCTGGTTGAAGATATAGCAAAATATAAAGGAATCTAAGATAAGCTATTTTCACCCATTTTATGCAGAAAGATAGGCTGTAGCATGCACTTTTCCTGGAGGAAAAAAAAAAAAAAAAAATCTGTCAGCAGCAGCAACCAAAATGTTTTAATTTTTAAGCTCATTCTAATGCTGTTGGAGAATGGGAAAGGCCCTCTTAAATTGTAGATTGTTTTCTCCATGTAGTCAAACATCACACTGACTCTTCAAAGATGGAGGGGGGAAAAAAAACAGAAGAGCCTTTCAGAAGCCAAAAATGTCTGCACGTTCAGACCAAACTGAGACATGGAAAGCTTTGACAAGGTCTTTCAGATAGAGATAGAGGATGACTACATGGATTTGGAGGTCCTTCTGTCATCTTAAGGTGCTCCATTAGATGAAGTTATGGTTTTTCTCCTGGTTCCTGAAACCTCAGAATTCCTTATCCTCATCAGGGGAAAAAATTAATAGCCTACTGACAGAATTAAAGCATAATGGAAGTATTTGTTCTTCAATGCTTACATTGCTTAAAAATATCAAGTGAAAGCCAAAAAGGGTTGCTTGCAATATTTAATGTTTTAATTAAAAGTAATATTTTTCAAGTTTAAAATGTAACATTTTGGCCTTCAACTGGGAGAAAAGCATCTGGAATGCATTAGAAGACTTCACCAGCTGCTTTCAGACATCATTGCTTCCCATTTCTGCCTCACAAAAGTATACAGATATCAAGACACACTAACAGATACCTGTATTTCTGATGACATAATCCAAAATAACCAATCTTTCAAACTGTGACTGAAATTCTTTTCTTGTGTTCTCAGGTAAAGGATCAGCTTCAAACTTCCTGAGCCAGTAGTCAGCTTCCCTGTAACCTTCAACAAACAGCTGGAAGGAGCCAACCTGAAACATTAAGAAACTGCGTTTGGAAAATGCACCTGGGTAAGTCACAGAACTAATCTTAACAGCAAAGCTGGTTGTATACTTTCAGAGTTCAGGACACAGGAAGTGTGACAAAAAAACAAAACAAATAAAAAAAAAAACAACCAAAACCCACTACTAGGTGGTTTTTCTTTCATTCCTAAACCCTAAAGCCAGTATGACTCAAATCATGAGGGTTTGGGGATTTTTCTAGGCCTCTCTTTTTTTTTTTTGTGTTTTGTTTTGTTTTAATTAATATTTGCTTAATTACTGAGTGTACCAGGAATAAAATGTAGCCCAACATCTTAACATAAATGAACACTCAGTGTTACAAGAAGTATGTAAAATAACATCTGTTCTTTTTGTTTGTTGGAAACATTTGGTTCAATAGTTTGTAAAAAACTCAACAAAAGTTACAGGAGAAAAATCTTCCTTTCTGAAACACTTGTATGCTTCCTTGATCAGAACAGCAGCATTAACCGTTTTTTCAAGATAGACACATTTTGCATGGAAATGACTTGCAAAAAAAAAAAAAAAAAAAAAAAAAAAAGCGGCCGAAAAAAAAAAATCTGTAAAAAAAAAAAAAAAAAAAAAAAAAAAAAAGAGTCCGAGAAAGAAAATTCCAGCTGCATAGGCTCCGTGTGTGGGCAACAGGAAAGGTGCTCATGCTCAAAAACCAGAAGGGGACTTAGGAGAAGTAAAATGCTGGTAGATGCACACGTGCAGAGTCGTGGATGAACACACAGCATGTGGAGTAGCCATGCTGATGCAAGCTTGCATAATGTATGTCACATGGATCAAAACTGCTGGGTGCTGACACAAGTGGATTACCCAAGCTGTACATAACCTGCGTTTTAAAAGTTTAGGAGTACAACACTGTGCTGATATTTTGGGATATGACAAGGCTCATTAGGCAAGCAAGATGTGAGGTAATCAGCAGATCACTACACGTAAGATGAAAGGAAGGCAGGATGAACACAGCAATAGAATACCTAAATTAATAAAAAGAAAAATAGAAGGTGGAAAAAAAAAAAATGTTTAGGAAAAATGAAGGAACTAGATAAACTTCAAAGGAGAAACAATTAGACAAAATAAAAACATGACAATGGAAGGAAACATACTAAACAGTAAAGAAAAAACAACAGTGAGAGATGTACAACATTTTAACATGTTACTCCTCCAGCAGAAAGTTAGGCTGTAAACTGAGTAAAAAAGTGACAATACTAATTTCAAATGACAGAATGATGTAACAGAGTGGACAGATTTTGCATAGAAAACACCATATTTATCAAACTTCGGTCATTTAGAGATAGTTTTGAGCAAGCGACAAGATTTTTCTTCTACTGTGGAAGCTTACTTTTTTTTTTAATTCAAAGCTTTAAAAATGAGGAAACCCACAAATTACTTATTTTTCATCTTACCTTAGGAGGTAGTCCAATCCGATTAAATTTTTTAGCAACTTTTGGCACTTTCTCTAAAGCATACTTTTTTCCTCTTGACTTTGCACGATCTATTGCACTGTAATTGAAGGTCTCACTGACAAGCCAGACAACCTTAAAATATGAAAGATAAAAACACAGCTCAGTAATAATTCCTTATTACTTCAATTATAAGTTTACAGTAAGTTTTATGTTCTGTTGTCAAAAACGCAAAAAGGAAGCATCAGACATTTCCTACAGAAGTTTCACATAAAAATGTGAATACTTGCTATTTTACCTATCTCAATCAAAAATGTGAATCTTTATATGCTGCTTTTTGCACCTCACCAAAACATAAAATGCTAGAAACTGAAGCGGTTCCAAAGAAGAGATTCAATTCAGATCTCAAACTCATCCTTTAAAAAAACAACGAGATTCATTATTTCTACACCAAACCACTGTGCCTTTGGGCTTGCAATTGTTTATGAAGTACTTAGGGATAAGGCACAACATACAAGGACATCGCCACAGCCACAGTCCAGAAACTAACAAATCTGCCACTGTTTTGTTTACATTCAATAATTTCTGTATTTTAACTTTTACCTTAGTTTTAGGTACAACTCCTAGCCCCAGCTTGTCATCCACGAGATAGGCACCAGCTTCAGAGAGGTATCCCTGATTTGGAATGAGGCAGCCTCTGCCAAAGCAGCAAGGACAACAGACTTTGTGAAAATATTTGGTCCATTTTGGATTTAGATGTCCATAAGGCTCTTCAGATTTTGGTTTGAACACTCCAATAATTTTCTAGGATAAATAATATGAGAGTATGAATACTTTGAGTTGCAGATGTTTAAAATTATTTTGACAATGAGTTATTTGAAAGTACTGGTTAGATACTATACATTGCATTTTGGAGTTGCTCTTTTTAGATGAAATAATAAACCAAAATAGTATTCCAAATAAATTTATCATCAAATGCTTGTCTAGAAGTAGTACAAATTCAAAATAAGCTCTTTATAAGAGAAAAGCAAAACAAGACATTATTTACTAGTTTTTTAAAATTAAAGGGGACTGAATTTCAGTTTTTTTTTTTTTTACATTCTAAGTTTTTTTAAAACTACTTTAAAAAATAAGTTTCAGTCAACCAATTCACTTATTGACAAGGTATTTCAGATAGAGACAATGGTTCCAGGAAAGTTACAAACATACAGAATGATAATAATCATATGTCTTTGCTATTTTATATCTATTTATTGCTTTAAGTTTGGTTCAAAATGTTCTGCACTTTGCACTTCCAAGGTGTGGTGTCATTTACCACTCCTGTAGATTCCTCTAAGAGGACAATAGTTCATGCTATCAGCCACCATTTTACACTGGAGACATGTAACAAAGCTTAAAACTACTCAGAGTACCTAGTGTCCAGAACTGGACACAGCTTCAAGAAATCTGTTAAAAAACTAGAAAAAGTCAGAAGAAACCATGAGAATAAGCACAAAAAATGTAGACAATGAAACACTGTATGAACAGGGATTGTTTAGCATAGGAGAAAATGGGGCACAATGAACTGTGTAATAGGTTGTAATATAGAAAAATAGGTGTAATATTGAAAAAAATAAATAAAACATTTACTGTCAACAAGGTAAGAAATGATAGGCTTAAATCCCAGAAGATAAATTGCAAAGAAAAAAAATTCTTCTGAACCTTAAGAGCAGCTCAAGACTGGAACAGACTGCCAGGTTGTGGAATACCCAAAACAGAGTGCCGCTAACAACAGGTTAGTCAGACATTCATTAGGAATCACATTAGAAAGATCCTGCTCCATGCCACAGGTATTAAATAGATATTTCTCAAGGTGCCTCCTACATGTGATTCTATATTAGTTAACCTCAAACCACAAGATTATTACCACACTAAAATATATAACCTTCCAATTGTCTGTGATAAACTTCAGCCTAGTGCACAAAGTTCATGTAATGACTTTTCTATAGTGCAACAGAAAAGCTGTATACATGTTGTACCTTCATTTCTTCTCACAGACCTGTGGTAAGTAAATCACATTCTTATCTAATAAAGATTTAAGAACAACCTTTCAAGAAGCATTTTCATATGAGTACTTTCCTGAATCCTTATCACAGAAATCAGTATCTCAATAAGCTGAACACTGCCTGTTGCACCAATGCTCAGCTCATTTACACCCTTAGGTCACAAACAAGTTTACTGGCAGTCAGAAATGAGCATTCTGCTTCCATAACTGCTGATTCAATCAAATTAAGGAAAGGACCTGACCAGTTATTCTAGCTGCTAGAGAAGTCTCACCTACTTTGTCCAAGACGATCTAACTAGTCCAAGATTGTTCAGAGAACTTATTCCATTCAGTTAGTAAAAAGATCCCACAAGACACCAGGCATGACTAGCATTGCCTATCTTGTCCATCTATTTTGATTAATTCCTATCAACTACCAGAAGAAATAAGTTATAAAATACCATTATTGGCATTCATCCAATAAAATAAGCTTCCTATCAAGAGGGGCATGAAACAAATTGACAAAAATTCTGTTGGTCTTGGTATGCAGTTATCTGTGATTCTAAGGTTACATTCAAACTCATGATCAAGTTCTATGCAACTATAACGACACAATTCAATTGAGACCAACACAAAAGGTTACACTTACAATATTTCATGCAATGTGAAAGGCCAGGATGTTCTCTGAACACTTTGCTTTTTAAATGACAACACTTTGGAAACTGAATTTACTTAGTGTAACTAGTTTAGTCAAATTTCTAATATTAGTTATATAATTGTTAAGAAGTTATTTAATTTTCTCCTATTGAATCACTGGTATCTATCTACCTGGTCAAAACAGAGCTAGGAGCTTTTAATTTCCCAGAAATGTAGTAGTGTATTTGGTAGCACATGCCAAGCCATTAATCATTTGTTTTCTGAATCACTCTTTGGATAATACTTCGTATAAGTTGCTCATTTTAAAGAGGAGCTTAGCTCATTCTGTTACTGGCCTGCACCATACCATGCTATAGTAGCAAATCTAGGCATGATTTTCAAGGTTTCACTGAAGTTAGAATCTTGCTAAATTTTGCAGAACCACTGCTGCGGAGCACCACAGTAGAAACAGAAAGCTCAGTATACAGACAACCTACAGTCTTAATTCCGCAAATCAAAATTAATTTCTGGACTGATTCCCTTGGCATTATTAATTAGCCAATAGCTAAACAGTCAAAACTATGTTGCAGAAAGTAAACATCAAACATGTAACAGACACAACGGCCTTCTACTTTATTAGTTACACAACAAACAACAAATGTATATTCAACATATTAAAACACTTCAGCAACAGTGCTGCTTAAATACCCAGCTGTTTCCTACCAGTACGCAACTATGCCAACAAATGCAAAAAAGTTAATAATTTTCATTAGGCAATTTTAGCTTTTTCTTTCTGGTAGCCAGAAACAGGCGAATAAGGTGACCTAATGGAAACAGGCTATTTTGCCTGTAACTTGGTATTAGTGTGGGTAAACACTTCAGAGGCCGACCAGTAAGAAGGCTTAGCAGGTCTTTAATAAGCTCTTTCCCAGCATAAGGAAGAGAGGATTACTCAAGAAGAATAGAAGGCAAGTCACAAAACTGGTCTGAAGTAGAATTATGCAATGCTCTGTCAAACAGGATATGGAATCCATTCCACAAATGGGAGTTGCACTACTGGCAAAACGAAGTTTTATCAGACCTTTAATATGGATAACAAATTTAGATAAGCTCTAAATTGAGTGCAAAAATAATAAAAGCAAAATTGAAAGTCAGCTAGGAGCTCAGTATCGTTATTCTTGCAGTCCCATATTGGCAAATACTTTCATGTTTTGCAAGGAAATTCTTCTGGCCTACATAAAAAAAAAAAGGTTGGAATTTTTTTTTCAGTCTTTGTTTCTCCTACTTACCTTCAAACCAATGACCTGCACAAAGGGGGACGCAAGTCACTACTGGGAACTTAACTAGGAATAAAAGCAACGCTTCACTGCAAAACACAAGTAAAACCCACAAGAACAGGGCATGAGAAATAAGTAGACCTGGTGCTCCATCTACGATACCGTGGCTACAAAAATGATGTGTAAGTACTCGTTAGTCCAGGGCACAGCGAGTCTCTCAAGCATTTGCCAGTCACCAAAAAACTGCAAAGTCAGGCTGGAAAAGCTTCAGACAAACTGATTTGCACATATGGAAACCCAGAACAAGTATGATTTTTTCCTACTAATTTCTCTAACTTTGTAAGAATAAAAGATGTCTATGCACAGCATTAAGAGAAACTCCAAAAAACACGCTTAACCAGTATCCTGGTTTGAGCTCCCAAAGCAGGGCAACCAGTTTTAAAGCATTTTTAGCATAACACTGTACTCTTTATGTATTAGCTTTTGGAAAAAGGATTGATTTAAATCAGTATTTGGTTATTTACTCAGATTTTTTTCCTATTGCATATGAAATAAGGTATAATCCTAATTCAAAATACCTCTTTAAAAACAGTATAAAGTTTGAATATGTATATATAAGCACACAGTCTGAAAGCCTACAAAGAACTACGTACAGAAGTGGTCTGACACTTAGAAAGTGTGCTGAAACTTTGAGCAGGTTTTCTTATTAACAGCATTGTACACAACAGCACAATTCCCACAAAGCAATAAGAGAAGTATCACTTTTTTTCCCTTCCAGTTTCAAAAAGACAGACCTTCCTCCCTAAGCTACTCTGGTTCTCCTCTACCAGAATGAAGCGGGTCATTGCTAACAAATGTTACTGGAATACAGGAGTATGAACTGCAATGTGCAGTTCTTAAATAATATTGAAAGGAAAGTTCTGCCACTTTTCATCTTAGAAATAAACTCATTAATTTTTATCTATATTTGAGTTCAGTAACTGTTCTAAGAATCACCCATTCAATGAAATGTAAAAACCAGAAAAGTGGCATTAAAACAAACTAAAGATCTATGAAAATTAATTAGCAAAACAGGAATATATTCTGTAATGAACAATAATATGAATAAAATCTAAAGAAAACACATAATATTTCCTAAATGAATAGGGAATGACCATTTAGGGGATTGTTGGGAAGAACAAGAATCTTGTGTAAGTTTTGAAAACCTGGGCACTTAAAATGTTACAACTTCCTTGTCCAACCCAACCGGGACCTTCAGGATTAATGACCATCTACAGCTACCTAGACCTTCAGGATTAATGACCACCTACAGCTACCTAACACCTGAGACGGCTGACTGAGCTTAAAACAAAATCGGATATGACAATTTAACAAAGGTGTGGGGGTTGGGAGGCTTCTTTTGGGATACAAGTTCGTAAGTAGACAAAGTATTTCTGATTTAAAGAGAACAATACGAAAGTATGTCTGAAACATCCTTTTCTCTTACTAAATAATGCTACTAAACGTTACTCATCAAGCAAGATATACAGGTAACTGTCACTTCTGTCTCAGAGTAAACTTGGGACACCTCTTTGATGATCACTACTCAAGGTACCATTCACCACTAAGGGAGGGGAAAACAAATCTTCAGGTTAAGATTCAGCAGACAAGTAAAAAGAGTTGTTTACGTCACTCTTCTTGCCCACCTACCAACCATATAGGAGGGTAGAGACATGACCTAAATACAAGACTATCTAAAAGAAAAAGAGAAAAAAATAGGAAGCTTGGCTAAAGAAACGTAAACAGTACCCCCAAACCAGAAGCTCAGTTGTGTCAAAAAACAATTAAAACACACAAAGAACAAAAATGTTATATTTACACAACAGAATTTCTGACTTGTTTTCAGATATTAACTAAAGAGGCCTTTTTATTTTCTCCATATTTCTTTAGTGCAGATCATTCAAAACATGGTAAAACCGCAACAGAGAAATAATAGTTATTTTGGCTTAACTTATGCTGCAAGACATAGCATTTAGACTTCTAATTACATGTGTTGATTTTTTTTAATGTAGATTTTGGCACACCACAGATTTTTAAATAAGCTATTTCCGTTAATTTCTGTTTTAAAATTGTTGCTGATAGTGTCTATGGCTTCACAGTTACATGCTCACCCCTTTTGGATCCTTGGCAAAATAACTCCCACTGGATCCTTGAGAGATTCTCTCTGGAAAAACTCCACATTCTATAGCTTGTTCCACTTTCAGAATAATTTCTGCAAATTCTGGATCATCTAAAAATATATTCATATCAGCAGCATGTCCTGTATGCCCTGAAAAATAAGAAAACAAGCAATCTTAAGGTAATGTGTAGCACAAATTAACAACAGCATAAGTAAACACACTGCAAAGCTAACAGCCTTCCCTGCTAATGCCTACTCAATTCCAGGCTGAAAAAGCTGGTCCTTGAAATCCATGCAAGTTTTCCTGCTG